CCCTTGGAAATTTGATGTTCTTAAAACTAGCATATTTTCCCTCGAAGCTTCGCTTCTCGGGCAAATATTTGTTTTAAGAACATCAAATTTCCGCGGGGGAAACTATCAGCCGATAGTTCCTCGACAGAAACACTCTGTTGTTTAATTAGTATAAATCTACTAGCGTTCTATCAAGAATGCCGTTGTGAGTAGCGTAGCAGTGTGCCCTTGTTAACAAATGACGGCCGCTTCTTGGCGTTTTCGAAGTGTCTGTGAAGAGGATTTAGATGAAGTTTTGAACCAATAGATTTATTCTAAAACAATTAGATTATTCGCTGTCGATTTGCTGCGCCCTCGTCAACTATCACGCGATAGAAATCTCTAGCTCATAATCTAATTGTTTAATATATACGATGCTCTTGACAATAACTAGTACAATACAACGAAACATTTGTGTTTAAATAGAAAATTGGTTAAATAACTACTCCTAAAAAGCCTTTGTAGAAACTTTTTCAGCTTTATTCTGTTCCAAATTCATTTGTTTTATTACATAAATATAATTCTTAATTACACATTCACAACCAGTGACTTATAAATCAAGCGCCTCTAGTCTCCTATGAAGTTATTCTATGGCTTGTCACACAATCTTGATATCAACTAAAGATGGGCTTTACTAATTGATGACCAAAAATTGCTTTACTAGCCATTAGAGTATCCGAGGGTTTAGAGACCTTTAGGCTAAACTTTACCGAGGGTATCTACCATATTAAAATCAGATATTTCTAGAGTACTAAACGAAATGCTTTGTACTCATTTCCTTTAGTTCAGAGTTTGTGAAATGACTGGCCAATTCCCTCTACGCGATGCGCCTGCAGGGAATCATGGTAGTTGTATTCATCATCTTGGACTGGATATTTGTTTTGATGAATACAACTACCATGATTCCCTGCAGGCGCGTGTCAAAGAGGGATTGGCCACTGTTTATTGCCTTGGATTGAATCTACTGGCACAAGATTCCTGAATCTTACACATTTTCTCGCGTTAATAAATTCCAACGAGCGTTGAAACAATAACTACGTAAATTAACAGTAAGAAATTTCAACGCAACTCTGCGCTCAACATGGCAGCGAATTACGCTTTACTATTTTTACATCCGCACACCATGCTTCAAAAAAGAAAAAAAGTACGGAAAATAAGACGCAAATGATGTGTATGACACGAAAACGATATAAAGTCCTTGCCTGTACAATAAAGCTTGATGCAAACAAGACAGCGAGTTCAATTCTCGTTAATTTACTAAAGTCCGTTTGAGCACAGTTGAAAGAGTTATCTCTTAAACTGCTTGAGTACTTACATCAGACTGTGTGCAAGCATGGCAGAAAAATGGTATTTTTGCGTTTAAATGTAACAAGAATTGTGGACCGTGAAAGAAGGTCACCCCTCTCTCACTTTCAAACAATCTTGGCATCTAGTTTTATCGTATAGCAACATGTGTTAATACCACTTCATCAACACTAACACAACACGAGTTCACTTGACTACAAAATGATACTGTGTAACTACTGCTCGAGGGAGCTAGATATGACACGAAATTTAAGGGATTTATTTGGGATGCAAAACATTACCGACTTTACATGTAATATTATTTGAGGTTAAGAGTGTACTATTGGAAAGCCACGAATCTGATTGGTTCTCTTATTGCTGTCTATTCACTGACACAAGACGAGAGCGGGCGCGTCGCTCTTTTTTTTCATTCATAGCATCCAAATACATAAAACAGTAGATTTTGGACTACAATCCCTTAGATTGTCAAAGAAAACGACAATAATATTGCTGCACCTTGCTCATTCCATTCGTTCACAGAAAACTTGGGCAGGAACACCAATTGCTAAATATTTAGTTAGCAAACAGGAAACGCGATATTTGAAACAGGAGACGATGGGGACGAATTTGAAAACATTTTTTTTATCTTGTGTACACTGTTGCTCCCAAATTTCGCAAACGACGTTTATTTAGACGCGGGTGGCCTGAGATGACATGGAATAGAGATCCTGGAATGTCCTTAACCTACATGTCTTAACTCATTACATATTTTCTTCTCTAACATGGCATAATTTCTGTTACACGAACATTACCAACGATTGAAGGACCTGAATTAGACTACGAAATATGTCACATCATTACCTCATATGATTACATTATTCAGTCAAAATAGAGATTTTTCTTTTCACTTAAACCAATCAAGGTCGTCGTCATCGTCATCATCAAACAATGGCGGTGGTACAGCACGGGGTGGTGGAGAATCCTGGAAAACAAGAAAAAATAATAATCACACCCTCTATTGGTTTTCAAACGACCGCCGAAAGTAATAGTGTCGCTTTTGAGCTTTTCCTTTGGTTGAAGACATCAGTACGTTCGGTTTAACCAGTCAGAACAAACATGTTTCTGAACCAGCCAATCAGGTGAAGAGCCCAAACTAAACGTGATTTGGTTCAAGCGACTTTTCCCGCGCTTTTCACCGGTTGCCCGCTTTAGCAGGATCTGCACACTGAAGTAAAGGAGACTACTAGCAAAGAACGACGACAAATATTCAAAGCACAATGCAATAAGAGACAAGAACCTCCCCAAGTAAAAGGAGCTGCGTCACGTTTCCGCAACTTGAAAAACGTTTAGCCTAAATTTTCAAGTTACTCGTTTGTAATCCATGTCAATCTTCTCCATTGCCTTAACCATCCTTGTTCCTTTATGGTTTATTATTATCTCTCTAGTGCTTTTCTATCTTAGTAAACTATTATTTTCAGGTTTCCTTTCATTTAAGGACAATTAAAGAAGACTCAAAATGCCAGGACTGAGCTTCTTTAAGGTGTCTGAAATCAAGCAGCTTTTTACCAGTCTTCCCTTCATCAAATCGATGTGGAAATTATACCAATAATGGCAATAGATTGTAAATTAAAGTTTGGTGTAATGTATCCCCTAAAGCAATCGATATTTCCATGGAAAGGATAAACAGAAAAAAAACTGAAAATCGATAAAACATGAATTTTGCGTGAACCACATGTGATATTAAAAAGCTGATATTATTGTCTTAGACTATGGTGTATGGCAAACAGAATATATCTACAATATATAACTGGTGTAAAAGTTTTCAAATCGACCCGATAAAGGAGAGACTGGTAAAAAGCTGATTTAAATTGCTTGGCAGACTTGGTATGGTCCAGAACAAAAACTGTATGGAGACACGGTCCATTTAAGGTCAAGTTTAAGTAAGTAATACACTGATGCATACCGGATTTTCCTGTTCCTTTTTCTTAGACAACGAACCAAACGTTGCTTCCACGTCATCATGATCATCATCAGCAAATAACCTAGGCAACAAGAAAGGCACGACTGTCATAGGTGAAAATTAGGACTTCTTTAACAGATTATTGGTTGTTCAGTCGAAAAGCCATAGCAATGACGGTTATTGTCTCATCTCAGTTATGTAATTATCCTGCAATGTACTAGCATTGCAGGCGCTTCTTCCTTCTTGAGCCACCCTATTCACGCGGTTTACGCACTAAAGGTGAGGCTTTTCACTCGCCGCGACGCCAAAATAATTTTCTCAACATAAATTATGCGAAAAGTTTAACGGCGCGCGAATATCCATGGCCACCTATCGATATACTATTCAATTTTAACATGGTTTTAGCCATGTATCTTCTGCAGGATAGTTTTGTCTGTCCACAATTTCGCTATCACGACATCTACATAACACATGTTGTGCATGTGACATTGACCAATCCGTAAACATGTGATTTTCATCCGAGGTTATTACCATGTGCATCTAGTAGAAAATTGGCCTTCGTGTTGGTTGCTCTATTTTTTGCTGCTGCACCGTGCTGACAAGACCCAATCAGGTCAAAACAGCTATCCACGGTTGCAATTCTTGGCCCTCAGTTTGGACTCTATAATGTCGTTGCCGCGTTAAGTTATCTACGTAGTATCAGCCTTGCTTCATTGTTATTCTCGCCTATCGTACGCGTGGCTGTCTTTTTGGATCGTCACGCAGGGCTCCTCCCAGCATTGCGTGACAACCTCGAAACTAACAAATACAACACCAATACTTACGATTTAAGTTTGTCCTCACTTATGGTGTTTCTCTGCGTCGAGTCCACCTGGGCTTCTGAATAATAATAATTTTATAATTAACAATATAAGTACCATAGAGACCTTATTTTCTAACTCAATTTGGCTAATAATTCAGAGCTGTCGAAACTTTCACCTGGACTGTGTATTGTCTGCTTGGCAGTGTCAAGGGATTTTGATCACTCATTACCTTTTGAGACTTGCTCCTCTTTTAGTTGCTCTTCCTTTTCTTCAGCGACAGAATAATTCTGAGGCTCTTCGGCTTTACTTTCGTCTGGTACAGACTGCACTACATTTTCTAAGGTGTCAGTTCTGTCGAATTCAGTTCTAGAGTTCTCCTCTGCTTCCGCAGAAAGCTCCTCTAAAGAAGGTACGTCCACTTGATTTCCTGGAAAAGAGTCAGCTTCTGAAGTATTGTCTTCTAAATTATCAATATCTTCTTTGTCTTCCGCAACATTACTACTTTCTAATATCCCATCATTTGAATCTTTTACAACTGCTTCAGACTCAACAGAATCACCAGCTTGTCTACTCTCCTCGTCAGGGGGTTTTGTATCTCCGGTTTCTTCCATCTTCTGTTCGTTCGTCGTTACTTCGTCTTCACTTTGTTCATTGTTCACTACTTCGTCTTCTTGTGCATTATCACCTTCCGCTTCTACCTCTGTTAACACATTTTCACTATCTTTGTCCTCTTCTTCTGCTTCGTCCTCATCCTCCTCGTCGACACTTTGTTTAATCTCCTCTCCTTTTTCTTGGCCCTCCAACTCTTGTTCCTCTTCCTCTTCACTCTCTTCCTTCTCTACTGATTTCTCCCTGGCAAGTTTCTCTTCTTCTTTTCCCTCTACTTTAACCTCTTCCTCCTCCTCCTCTTCTTCTTCCTCTTCATCTTCTTCCGCTTCTTCCTCCTCTTCTTCGTCTTCTTCCTCTTCATCATCACTTTCTTCTTTCTCGACCGATTTTCCGCTCACAAGTTTCATGGTCACCTCCTATTTAGTGAAGAAGCAAAAACATGACTTCATTTTTTTTTTTTTTTTTTTTTGTGGGTAAACTTGAATGATTGGTCGGGTTGTTCAAAACCCGATAAAGCTAACCCAGGATTGGCGAGAATTTTGGTTTCAGTTTTGCAATTTTCGGTGAAGTTTTCGTTTATATTATCTGTACTTCAGTTTCAATTTGAATGATCTCAAGCTACACAAAACACAAGCAGTGAAAAACATTTTTACACAAGAAAAATTGATACTGGGGTTAACTTTTAATCCTGGGTTAGCGTTAACCGGCTTTTCAACAACCCGCCCCTAAACAACTGTCAGGATTCCTTCCCCTTGCAACAAGAACGAAAGTGTCTGAAAACATTTGCAAACGAAAGCGCTAGTACAAAGGTCAAAACACTTTGACCATTATACTGTTAAAGGTTCGTATGACCTTTCTTTCTCGGCTTATTTTGTGTCGCGGTGAAGACAAGACTTCACAGTTTCCTCTACTGTACACGGACAGGTTCCTGTTCATTAAAAATGTGACTTGTGAGTAAGTTTGTTCGTACCTTGATAGTCTTGAGAACAACCTTCATGATGTCCGACCCGGTGTAAGTATCATCAGCCTCAAAGTCATTCCTCAGCATGTGGTAAACCGTGTTCATTATCCGCTTGACCTACAGAATGCACACAATGATTACAGCATGACACGCAATAGTAACGCACGCACTACATGCAGGGAATGCACTACACCTATAGTCACGCAATGTGCACTACACCTATAGTCACGCAATCGATGTCACTCAGTTAAATTATTTCACGCTCAATGGAGGATATAGGATGTGCTCTAAAGTTACCAGCCCGCCCCCCCCCAAAAAAAACAACAACAACAACAGTTTAAATAGCTGCAGAAGAAAACACTATGCAGGGAAACATTTTTCACCCTTGAAAGCTGTTAGCATCTTCTCTTTTTGGTGTAAACAAACTCAAACTTCTGCATCGTTCTTTTAAAGTTGTAATTTCCCGAGGATACAAAGTACAGGGGAGAAATAAAATCACCAAGTCGGGAAAACTGTTCTGATACCCGAACACCTTCTCAGCAGTTAGCAGTTAGAGAACTGTGGACTGATCAGCAATTTACACATTAGAACTGAAATCTCTAACCATAGTTAGTAGAGGGGACTAACTATGCTCTAACTTACTTCATCCGTTACGTTAACTAAGGGTTGTTTTTCGTAGGCACCAGCCTGTTCTTTTCCTTCCTTCACACCTTTCCTATACGCTTCAGAAACTGCAGATTCACGCTCCTTCAACCAAAAAGGAAAAACAAAAAACAAAAACAAATAACGTTCAGACCTTGCGAAAACCAAGCATAGGCAAAGCATACAAAGGGCTATGTTTACAACTGAAACCCTTTTCATTCATGTAACCAGAACAAAAAACGAACAATTGTTTCACCTCCACTGCAGATGCCAGTTGCTCCTCGAATTGTTCCTTCATTTTCAGTGTTCTGGAGCGAACCTCTTGGTACTGTTGTAAAAGAATAATAATAGAAAACATCGTATTAGTTGAGGTACATAACTTGGAAAACAAATCTTACACGTGCAAGTACATGTACATTCAATCCAAATGGACATACTCCCGATTCTACATTGGCTGTGCTTTACATGAAGCACAATACAGTGTCCAGAGAAAATGATACGTGGTGCAAATTTGTCTAACTGGTTGTTAACCCAAATTATATATCCACAACATATTGTGATGTTACTTCTCTTGAATGAGATGCTGTTGTATCGAAGGTTACCCCAACATTATGTCAGGTGGACGTAGCAATTGCTGGCACTCACTGATACATCTGGGTTCAGAGAGGCACTGTGAGAGGAAAGTGTCTTGCTCAAGACCACAGCACAGTGACCCGGCTAGGGCTGAACCCAGACCCCTCAATCCGTAATCCAAGGCGCTAACCATCAGGCTAGCCTGTCTCCCACAAATCATCACCAAAATATGTTTTACTTCTAACCTTGGCTTGTAATGCATCTAGTTCTTGCTGTGTTGATCGCAGTGTTTCCATCTCGGAATCTTTGTCAGTTTGTGCAGCTTGAAGTCGCGTATACTGATAAACACAAACCAGTATTAATTAACTTGGCTGATATAAGGACGCTTTCCTTTCATTAATCTGATTCTTTTTGGTTTTCACTTTACTCTAATGACTCTACTTTAATGTTTAAAACTCCCAACCTTTTCGCGTATTCCTTCAAGGTCTTCTAATTTCTCCTGGAGATCTTTGATCTTTTCCTCCTTTTCATCTTCGCTTGTTTTCAGTGATGAACACTATTAAGAAAAAAATAATGAACTCATAAAAAAAGACTGGTACAAAAAATAGCAAGATCTTAAAGTAATACTAATTAAAAAAATCACAGAATATAATCTCCGCTCTCTAGCCTTGTTTGGCGAGGACATAAAGGGTAACATCTACGTAACTAATATAAACAAAAAACAAAGCTCTATAAAAATTGTACAGCTAGCTTCGCGAAGCGAGTATGCAGTTCTAACCTTTTCTTGAAGCTCTGCCAATTTTTTGACCGTCTCCTCTTTTTCATCCGACACTTCCTGAAATCTCCTCTTCCATTTCTCCTCCGTCTGTGCAACCATCTTTTCTGCCTTTTCTGTCCACCTGGATTCGAGTTCCGCTTCCGCCTGTGCAACCTTATTTGCAATCATGACAAAAGCATTACAAACTGATATATTCCACTTTTCACTCCAAGAATGTTACCTCAACCTTTGTCTACTTACTTTCGTACTCGAGCACTAGAAGCGTCACCGAAGAATTCCTAGCCTGCCTAGCAGGCGTTCTTTATTTGCAAAAGCACGCGAAGGGTACGAAACTGCGAGCGAGTGCGAAAAATACGTAGCAGGGTGCGGGGGTGGGGCAAAAAATGATTCCTTTCCTCCTCACCCCCTCCCACTTCTTCTCCTTTTTTGCTCACCCCCTTCGCACTTCTCCTCATTTTTTGCTCACCCTAGGCGCGCTCGTTTGCTTGCTCGCTTGTTCGATGTCCCCGCCTGCAAAATGGAAAGGAAACGTCTGCTACGCAGGTTAAAGAATTCCCGATCCTTATTGTCCAATCAAAATTAGCGAAAGCACTCGGACGAAAGTTGCCGAATGTTGCGTTGAACAAATCTTGAGTGAGAAAAAAAATTCATACAAAACAAAATCACGACCTTACCTGTTTCGCTGTGACTGATCCACTGCTTTGCTTTTCCTTTCTATGTTTTTCCTTCAAAAACTTTATTTCTTCCTACCGGAGAAGCAGAAATGT